TCTTAGAAAAGAAAGCTAGTGGCTCTGATTTGTTATCAAACGTTTGATGTATGACACCACCAATTGCCGTATTAGATGTATCCACATTTAAAGAGAGTTTGGCATCTTTGTTAAAATGATTTAACAATATCATAGACGCAAACTTTTCTTTAATACATTCAAAGGCTTTATTTGTTGTGTCATCCCAAATTAAGGACTTGTCACCTTTCTTAGTTGTTCGATTGATTAAATCGTAGATAACTGCCGTAAACTCAGCTAATTTTGGTACATATCGATGGTAGTAGTTAACCATACCTATAAACTTCTGCGCCTGTTTAATAGATTTAGGACGTTCAAAACTACGAATAGCAATCACTTTTTCATCAGAGGGTCTAATTCCCGCCCCAGAAATAATATGTCCTAAAAAGTCAACATTTGTAACACCGAAAGTACATTTTCTTGTTTTGATGTTTAACCCGTACTCTGCTAGACGTTGGAAAAGTACACGGAGATCTTGAAAATGCTGTTCTTCATTTTCACTTGCAACCAATAGATCATCAATATATGTAAAAACAAAATATAAACCACTAACTACTTCATTAATAAATCTTTGAAAAGTTTGCGCTGAATTTCTTAGACCGAAAGGCATTCTTATAAATTCAAACATACTGAAAGGGGTCGTTATTGCAGTTTTATAGATATCCTCTTCTGCCATTGGAATTTGGTGGTAGGCTCTTACCAAATCTAATTTCGAAAATATGAACTTATTTCTGATATTCATATTGAAATCTTGAATATGAGGTAAAGGGTAACGGTCCGGTACAGTCACAACATTAAGTCTCTGAAAATCGCCACAATGACGCCAGTCATTCAGTTCTTTTTTAGGTACTAAATGCAGTGGAGACGCTACACAAAAATTTGAAGGTCTAAAAATCCCTGTCCTCACTAAAAAATCGAATCTAGTTTTGGCTACTTTTAATTTAATCGGATCCAAGCGCCTTGGCTTAGAGAATGCCAGATTTCCTTCACTAAAAGGCTGTCTTGTATACTGGTTCTCTACTACGAACATTTTTGGAAGCGAAATGTTACAAACACATGAAACCGTGTTAACCGAAAGACTTGTTATTGGATCAACTAAACGTTTGCGTTTCATGTCAATTAAGAGACCGTTTTTGCAAAGAAAATATGCACCAATAATAGGTTTCGCAAAATCAGCTATGAGAAACGTAAATGGGAACTCGAGTCTTAAACCTAAATTTATATTTAAAATCTTTTTACCATACGTTGAACTCTTTGAACCAATGGCTGCAGTAAGTATTATATCTGAAGAACGTTTTGTATGAGGAAATTTTTTTACCGGGAGTATAGAAATTTCTGCTCCACTATCAATCAAAAAATCACAAAGCTGTTGAAATTTCTGAGCCTTATCACCAAATTTGTAATGGTATCTACATAACCAATTTCGACTATCACGGGATTTTGATCTACTTCTGTATGGACTTCTAAAACAATTCCTATTGAATGATCTATATCTAGAATTTTTATTAATTCGTTGCTTAATAGAATCTAATTCAAGGGAAAGTTTTTGAAAATTTTCGCATATAAGATATGTCGTTTTAACTAAATTCTGAATAATTGAGTCTTGTGATTTAGAATTTTGAAAACTATTCATAGCTGAAATTTCGGTTTCATTAACCGCTTCCCAAATATTATCAGGTAGCTTCACCAATTCATTTATATTATTGGTACTTGAACTAGCTAATATCGCACTAAGATTTTTGGACAATTTTCTCAGCCAAAGTTTCTTTAAAATATCTTGACTAAAATTTGAACCTGCAAGCAGCATGAGCGACCGATAAATTTCAGAGAGTTTACGATCACCCATCTCTGAATCTGAGAAAATTGTATCTAATTTTTTGTTTTCACTTAAAGAATCGCTTTCAATTAAGACTTTCTTTAGTTCTGAAAACTTGTTGTTATGCAGAGGAATTTGAATGACATCTTGTGTAATGTTTTTCATGTTAAATTGCATTTCTGTATGTACAAACCAAGCTTCTGGACAACTTGTCCAAAATTGTGGAAGCTTGACTGAGGTTGGATACACCTCATTTTTATTTTAACTAGCATAAGGATTTGTCAACTCCTCTTGCAAAGAGTTGTTTTGCAAATCTATAAGCGAGTCATTTAAATTATTAGTCCGTGTAGATGTTTGTGTATCATGTGGGGGTGAACGAAACATGATAACTTCACACAAATAATCTCTATAAGGAGTGTTTACAACTGATCTGAAACAAATTTAAATATACGGTATAATGAAAATATACAGGGTGTCCCAGAAGTAACGTGCCAAACTTTAGGGCAAGGTAGGTGGGGGGGTGAGCTCACTGATAAACAAAAAATTTTCAGGTAAAAGTGTCACCGTTTTTGAAATATTTACATTTTTTCGAATTTAAAAAAAATCGTGCCTTTTCATGTGTTTTCTTTAACTGCAACTACAAACCGGGCAATACTTAGTAA